ATATATATATATATATATGTTTTTTCTGAATCATAATATTGCAGAGTTGATTTTCAGAATTAGTTTTAGTAAGCTCTGTACTTGGCTAGAAAAGTTCGACTTGCATATAAAATAAAATGGATCTTCAAGGATCTCAATTGTCGCAGAAATACGGCAATTATTTCAACTTGTGAACGTTCGACGAAAAATTTCGCATTTTCCTTTCTGTCAGAAAGTACGGAGAAATCGTTTCGCGAGAGGCCTGAAACGAATTTTCACCCAAGCTTATGCTACGTGCTTAATCTAATCTCGCAAAGGATACATTACTAACAGAAAAGTTTGCAGCATTAAATTTCTTTTTTTAAATTGAATTTTAAATGCGAAACAAATTGCCTGACAAAAAATGCTAATTTTAACAAGTTTGTTTCCATTTTGTTTCTGCTTTATTTTAGCAAATGCCCTTGCGTCAGTGTGTATAATAATAAATATAAAAATTTCCCTCGACTTTCTACAATATTGTAGATTACGCGTCACTTCGTTTCCTAGAGATAAAAAAAAAAAAAAAAAGAATTTTATGTCATTAATCCAATTCTGCGTTTAATGCTTCACCATCTCAAACGGAATGAAAATCCTACTTAACCAGATACACATAGTGAAACGAATGCTGCGAAAATTTTTGTGGAAATACGAAATTTTCCATAAAGAATGCACGAATTTAATAATTACACTACTTACAAAAGATAGCTAAAGGACATTACAAATCTCACGGAACGAGATTTTCGTTCATCCCTTGTCTAACATTCAGTTTCTAAAACATATATTCCTATACGTTCTCGTCTGTACAAAAGATATGTTAGATTCGCATGATCGAAATGGCATTAATGTGTGTATTATACGTGGAACTGTTACAGGTGAATTACAAGTAAATCAAGTAAATCACCAATTACAAGTAAATCATCAAGAAGTTATAATATATGCATATAACACGGATCACTGCGTTCTTTGAATTTACATTGCATTTATTACCATAAAGAACATCCTTTTTTTTTCTTTACGACGTTTCAATATTAATGGACTTACAATGTTAATGAATTCACAAATCCAATATTTCCCGCAATAGTAAATGATTCTTCGAGTGTCTTAAATATCACGTGTCATATCTTCAATTTTTGTAAAATTATCGTAAAAGAAACAGCGTTTTGGAAAAAAAACATACTTGTAGATTTTTGTTCACGATTGTGAGCAACATTCATCCATACTGTGCGTTCCTTTATTCAATGTGGATGAATTATGTATCATATATGATATACATAATTCATATATACATATAATTCATCTAAATATACATATATATATATATACATTTAATATTTTCAAGAAAGTATTAATTTATTGCATATCGTCACGCATACGAACATTTGGAAGACAGAGAGTCACTTGAACGAGGCGGATATTCATCCTCGACCTCTCCTCTTCAACCAGAATTGCTTGATCATGTCGGAAGCCTTCTCGCCGATCATAATAACCGGCGCGTTCGTGTTACCGCTGACCAAATTTGGCATGACAGAGGCGTCGGCGACTCGAAGGCCGCCGATCCCGTAAACTCGAAGCTGAGGATCGACGACGGCCTCCGGGTCCCAGTAAGGTCCCATCTTGCAAGTGCCAACCGGATGATAGATAGTCGCTGAATAATGTCTGATCATGCACTCCCAGTACGGGTCGCTGTACATCGGGATGTGCTTGCAACCGGGGAACTGCTTCGAGTTCAGCTCGCTGCCGAATCGCCTGAACGATCTGGTTCTGCTCAGGGCGATCGCTATTTTCACACCCTCGACCAGCGTGGCTATGTCGCCCGGGTCTTGGAAGTAATTCGGATAGATCAGCGGATGATCGAGCGGATCGTTGCTACGTAGCTTGATCACGCCTTTGCTTTTCGGCCTGAGCAGCATCGGGATCACGCTCCACACGTCCTTGTCGTTGATCGGCCCGAACACGGCGTCGTAGAATCTCTTCGACAGACCGTGGATCTTCCTGATGTGCCTGCCGCCGTCGGAGTTCGTCGAGCCGGAGATGAAGTGCAGCTCTATGTCGGGAAAGTCGTCCGAGGCGTTCACGTACTTCGTGTTGACGAACCCGAGTCCCTCAACGCCGCCTAGAACCGTCAGCGGGCCGTCGCCGAACACCGCGTACTGCATCACCGCGTGCACGCTGTGCAGCCGCTTCTCCACCATCGACACCTCTTTGTTCACCATGAACGTCAGACCTCCCAGGCCGACGTGGTCCTGCAGATTGTGGCCCACTCTCAGGTCCTGGATCACCGGTATCCCGTGTCTCAGCAGCTGTTCCCTAGGTCCGATCCCCGACAGCATCAACAGCTGGGGGCTGTTGACCGCCCCTCCCGAGACGATCACCTCCTTCCTCGCCCGGATACGGATCACCTTCCCGTCCCTGACAAACTCCACCCCGTAGGTCCTCTTCGACTTCGGGTCGATCAGTATCTTTGTGACGTGCGCGTGCATGGCCACGTGCAGGTTCTTGCGCAACCTGGCTGGCCTGAGGAACGCCTTGGCCGTGGAACAACGACTGCCGCGTCTGATGGTGCCCTGAGCGATCATGAAACCGGTTTGTTGTTCTCCGTTGATGTCCCTGTTCTCGTAGCCCATCTCTTGGCCAGCTTGGACGAACGCCGCGGCCAGGGGAGTGTGCCACGGTGATTCCTGCACGGTCAGGTAACCACCGGTGGAGTGATACGGGGTTCGGGCCAGGTAGGGGTTTTGATTGTCCTCGGATTTCTTGAAATAAGGCAGGATATTCTGATACGACCAGCCTGCGTTGCCCAGCTGCTCCCACGTGTCGTAGTCCCTCTTGTTCCCCCGCAGATACAGCATGTAGTTGAGCACGCTGCTGCCGCCGATCACTTTCCCCCGTGGCCAGTTGCACCGGCCCTCCTCCATCGCTAAAAAGTATTGGAACGTGAGTGAACGCAGAATGAGATGGAAAAGTTCATACATGAATGTTGTATCCAAATTTACTGACAATAAGTCAATAGTTACTTGGAGATCTGAAGTTAGATAGAAACATACTGTCTTACAAGGTATCCAGTAAAATTGGTAATTTTAGCGTTTTTTTTTTTTATATAGATCACAACGTAGACTAAATTACATATACGTATATGTAGCCTGAAAATGAAATTTAAAGTGTAAGTTATAAAATGTAATAATAACAAGTTACACAAACTACATTGAATAAAATTCTAATGGTAAATTATGCGAATTGTTATATAAAATTATAGTGATGGATTATATAAATTATTACATAACATTGTAATGGTAAAATCGTAGTATCAAATTATAATAAATTATCGTATCAAATCATACGAATCGATATACACAATTATATAAGATTGTAATTAATCTTAATTGTAATAATGTTTATTTTATTCAAGAAACAGATTATTTTTGATTACCTAAACAGGCATGTCCGTCGGCTTCTGTCTTGTACTGCCAATCGAGCTGACTAAGCTGAAGATAACCGGCAAGTAGAGGAACGTCGGAGATTTCCGTTTCATCGCCGCCAGCTTCCAGCAGAAGCACGTCCCAGTTTTCAATCTCAGACAGGCGACTCGCTACCACGGCGCCTGCAGCGAAATTTTGATGGAAAATTGACTGAACGCTCGGACAAACGAATAAATAAATGGATCAGTTTTATTATTATTGAAAAATCGTGATATAATCAAATAATATCGTTGGATGTTAGATCGGTGAACATTTTGAATATTTAATTTTACTTTGTATTTTATATTCTCCATGATAAAGAATTAACGACCGCATCCCCATGTAGGTTCGTATTTTTGAAAATATAGTGTTAATAAAGTGTTAAATGTTGTATTTATTTCATTTTATGCGAATGAATTCTTCGGTATTCGATCAAATTAAACATTCCGAAATTAAGTCGCTTGAAGAAAGGGTTAATACTGCCCGGCATACCAATTTAGAGGTTAAGAAATTGATCTCGGAAGATTAGAGGTTAAGAACACCAATTAGAGGTTAGGAATACAAGAAGTCAAGAAATTGATCTCGGAAAATTAATTCAGAAACTCTGCACGTTGTATGTTTAAAATAGTTATTTATATTGGATGATCATATTGAGCATACGTATAATATAAATGTTAAATTGATATATATATATAATTGATGTGAGTTCACTAGCAAACTGATGAAATTTAATAAAGTAACACGTACACACGTACAACTTTTCTGTGACAAATGTTTAAACACTTTCACTGTGTGTTCGCCAAAGATAAATAAAATGAAAACCGAAGGAAAGGTACTGAGTTATCGTTAATGTTAAGGTTAAGTACTAATCATAAAGTTAACTTTCTCGAAACTTTATCTGAAAATTGCTGGGGAGCAATGTACTTAAGGAAATGAGCGAAATCGCGCTGTTAAGCTTGCGTGCTATATTTCTAAAAAGACAAATATAACGAATATGCTCTCTCAAAGCAAATGCAACGACTCGGTTTGTAAAACCAGTCTATAAATAACACCTGTCATTTGTGAAATGAGAAATTTTACAGGAAGTGGAGGAATATCGAACAGAAATCGCGAAGTGGAAAGTTTAAATACATATATAGCGTATGTATATTATTATGTATTATATATATATATATGTATATTATACACACTATATAATACATAATATAATACATACTATATAATTATATATGTATATATATAATTTATACATTATATAAATGTAGTTACAATATTGTTATTATATAAATTATAGTTATAATATGTATGATTATAATATTGAAACATGAGGTTTAATATTACATCTATATGTACTACTGTATAATAAAATGCTATATATATATATATATATAAAATGTATAAAATATTATCAGTAGTCGAACAGAAAGCAATATATAAATTTTGTTACAAAAATATGATTTTGTTATATACAATAATATACATATGACGAAATATGTACTACACGGATATAATTTAAAGAAATAATAAATACGTACATATTATATATAAGATATTATCAGTGGTCAGAACAGAAAGCAATGTATAAATTTTTGTTAGAAAAATATTGATTTTGCACCGCAATAATAATGCGGTGGACATATGTACTACATAGATATAATTAAAAAAAGAAAAATATTAAATTATGTATCATCGATCGAAACGATTGTAAATTTTGTTGGTGGAATACGAAACGGTTAATTTCGTTTGATTGATTCATAAGAATGGGACGCACCTGCAGAACCAGATCCAACAACAATGAAATCGTAAGAGGGTAATAGCACTTCAGACGGTATGTTGATCGGTGGTGCCTCGTTGTCCATCACTTCGTACTGGAAGTAGACGAGGGCCGCAGCGAGCACCGGGAAGAACCATGAAAGTCCGCTGGATGCCGAGGTCAAGCCACCCGCCACGACGCTTTCGATGCCCATTTTCTATTTCCCTGATCGTCCCTGTCGGTCGCCTGCAGCATCAGGAATTATTATTTAACAAAGCAACGTCAAAGTTGAAACCCATCAGTAGCAAGATGCTGGTTCATCTTCGTATTTTCTATTTTAGGTGAAGTAAAGCTTCGCAACCCTTACGATTATAAACATAAATTCAATTTCTCATTTGCATCCTATCTTTTTCGAGAATCTATGGAGTATCCATTCAATTAATTATATTAATCTCATTCGTTCGATAATGTAATATGTATATAACATAATAAACGTAATTAATATATTCTCAGAAATATAAATATGCACAAAATGGCGACTTCAATTCCGTTGAGTAATGGCAGTAAACAACTCACTGTTTGATTCAAGATGAAATGAACAATCGAACGTTTGCAAGTCGGTGTCACTAAGCTTGTTATATGTTATATTATATCGACGATGAATTACTATGAAGTGATCGACTATGTAGTCGTCACGGCCATTCACACAGGGATGACCGGCTTGGTCGACCTGCACCTCGACACTGTCAAATCGAACCAGCCGCGTAGAAATCGGTCGAAGAAAAGTCCAAGACGACCACTAGCTGCTTACACGTGGCTCGAGTTCACGTACGAGAAGAATATCAATGACACGTGAACAACTTTCAGCTGTTAAGTAATTCCCTGTTAACGCGGTCAGCGTGTGTCGCCGAGGATCCTCACGTACTTACGGCCACCCTCTCCCCATTGTCGAAACGATTCCGCGAGAAAACGAGAATGCGAAATCGACATCTATTTCGAAGAATTCCTTCGCTTCGAATTAAGCTACTGTATTCTGCTAATTTATTTAATTTACTTAATTTTTGATTTTATACTTTTAATTTTTATTACATTTCTCCATGTTTAATATTTATTCGTTTCTATTACTCATATCAAATTACGTTCAATTTTAATCGTAACTTTGATTTAATAATTCGTATTTTTTAACCTTGATTTTAATTTTAATTAAATTCAATACGCTTCTATTA